GGCGCTCCTGACAGGTGAGGGCCCGGGGGGCGGCGGACGGGGCTGGGCCGGCCGCGGCGGGACTGCGGTCCGCGGGAGGGCTCGGCGTCCCAGTTGGGCGCCCGCTATTCGACGGCCCCGGCCGGAGCACGCCGCAGAGCCCGGCGCCTGCACGCCGGCGCCCAGGCTGCTGCTTGGTCGTGGTCTCCTGCACTCCGGACGCCTTCCTTTTTCACCCCAACTCTCCGCCCTCGACCGGGCCTCTCGACGGCAGTCGCTTCCCCGCCCTTCAGTCGGGCTCCGCGATCTTGTAAGCTGAGCAATGCAGTGGTTTCTCTTTAGTGCCGCAGAAGATCCAGCAGGGTCTGCAGGATACAAAACTGATTTTTTTTTTTTTTTTTTTTTTTGAGGCTGCTAGAAAAAGTCAGCAGCAGCACTGCGGTATTGAGTCCGCCTCTGGTGCTGCTTTTGCAAAGGCAGCTGGCGGAGAGACTCACCGGTTCAAAGCTTTGCAGAGCACCACGTCCCAGGGGAGGCTGCTAAAGAGGATTCTTTGAGAGCTATAATACCTAGTGGTATTAGTGGTTCCGCATTAGTATGTAGAAACGTCTCAAGTCTAATGTGGATTTTTTGAGGGGTGGAAGGAAGCCCTTTTTGAAAGGATGGCAAGTATTTGCTCGTGAGAGCATCACTGGGCGACAAAGGGTGCAGAAAGCTCAGCAGGTAACCAGACATACCTCGAATTTGCTGAAGTGCAGGATATTTGGAGCTTGCATTTGAGCAGCCCTGTTCTGCTAGACCTCAGTACACCTTTTTAATATAGAACATTCTCGCGTTTGATAACTCGCGAACATGTTTGTTGATGCTACTTAGGACATCGTAATCTTTCTAAAGCTTGTCATTTACAACTTCTCAGTGTTGGTTTAAGAGATGATTGCTTTGGGAAATAGTACGCTGAAGTAATGCTTATTTTTCTTAGTACTCGACTCATTTATTTTAAAAATAGATCTCTGTTGATTTCCTATATTAATTGCAAGATTCAAAAGGAAAACGTAAAGTGGAATAAGGCAGCCCATGATTAATTTAACCCAAGTGACGGTCCAACAGGCGTCTGGAAGTTACTAACAGCTGCTCTGGGAAGTGCACAGGAGCTGTATTCTTTAGTGCAAAGCAGTATTCTCCGGTTCTACCACAGGGTATTTACTATTCTAGAGAAAAAGGATAATCTCTCTTTGGAAATCTTCCTCAAGCACTTTTGAAGTTTTGGGGTATGGAACATAATGATGAGCATGTTTAACTTTACCCTGAAATACATCAAGCCCTCTGAAATGGAACTTGAAACATCAGCTCTATCACTGGGTAATTTGGATAAAATGATTACAGAATGTTTTGTGTTAGAAGTTTAGTATAGTTTGAGTGATAGAATAGGTTACTTTTATTCTTGACTAGTCTTTATTCTCCAAGTAAAAGTGTGGCAAATAACAATGTGAGCAATAGTGATTATCAGGAAAGTAGTTAGATAAGACTAATTTGAAGATTTAAGGCCTCATGCAGGAAGGGAGGGAGCGGAAATATTTGGGCTTTTAGATGCCATAGGCGTGCGCCTCTTGGTTTCTGGAGCAGAAAAATTTGGTTAGTAAATAATTGGCTAATGCTTTATCAAAATGTAATTGTTAAAAAGCAAGCAGTTTAGAAAATGTAGTGTTTGTTGATTGCTCACAAATATATTTTGTATAGATGATATCAAGAGAAATACTTAGATGGAATATTATAATAAGCAGTTTATAATTCTTCCTTTTAAGACTTTAAGTTCCCAGTAATAATAATAATAATAAAAATAATATTAGTTTTTGGCCGGGGCTGGGTTTGAACCCACCACCTGCGGTATATGGGGTCCGCGGCCTACTCCTTGAGCCACAGGTGCTGCCCAGTTTCCTATAATTATTTACGGCAGAGTGAAAAAAAGGGTGATTCGTACTGGGAAAAATATGTGATATATCATGCAAGATGAATTTGTGATACAGGGCTTCAATAGAAGTTTACTAAAATAATGTTAGCCTAGAAATTATTTCTAATGCTTTTTTTGTTTCTTTTTGTGAGACTATGGATTTTTACCACGTTAAAGATTTCCTTTTAAAGTTTAAGATCATAAAACTATACAATATCCTAGTTGAATTACAGTCATTTTAATAACTTCATGTAAATACAGTCAATAGCATTGGTACCTTGGAAAAGGTAAACTGAAAATCCATGATGAAATTAGAACATACTGAAAATTTCTTTGCACTGTGTGGCCTGAATAGGCCATTATTGTATAATGCTTTTATGGTTCTACTTGTGAATGCTGTGTTAAGCCCAGAATATAATTTATTAGTATTATTGTACACTTTAGGAAATAGAACCATAGACTGACTGACTGAACTTAGAAAATGCTGCAGTGTCCTATTCTAGGCATTGTTAATGGATAGAACATCATTAATAAGAGAACTAATTGAAAAATTTTGGAAGAATTCTGAGAGAATTGTTTTCTCTGGTTCTTGGTTAAAATTGTGATTTAGCTGTAAGTGTTCTTAATAGCTCTGTAAAATGATTGCCCAACTCACTTTTATCTTTTCCTCTTTAGATTAGTATTTTTAATGCTTACCTTTAGAAATTTCACAGTCGTTAGCTTTTTGCTAATTAAATCTAAAAAACACTATTTTCCACTGGTTTGTCTCTTAAGGGTTTTACTTTAGGTATTTAGTATATTTTAAGAATAAATTACCTTTAAATTATCTGTTCTGTTCTGAGTTTTGAGCAAGCAAACTATTCTTATAAAAGAGAGAGGCTATGAAAAATCATCAAAATAAACAGACCCATTGTTTGAGTTTATTATTTTCTTTTCATTTTGTGTTATTTTTTAAAGACTTAGTTTTGACAAGGTAGAATCAATATTTATACATGTAAAATTATATAGTAAGGTTAGTAACAAGGGTGTAAAATTACATATATACAGTAGTATGAATATATTAAAATTTAAAGCAAGTTAGAGATTGGTGACTGAGAGCTTGCTGATTCTAAAGCAGTCCTTTAAGAATTCAAAACATTACTTTTTGGGCCGCACCTGTGGCTCAGTGAGCAGGGCGCCTGCCCCATATCCCAAGGGTGGTGGGTTCAAACCCAGCCCCGGCCATACTGCAACAAGAAAATAGTGGGGCGTTGTGGCAGGCGCCTGTAGTCTGTAATCCCAGCTACTTGGGAGACTGAGGCAAGAGAATCACCTAAGCCCAAGAGCTGGAGGTTGCTCTGAGCTGTGATGCTACAGCACTCTACTGAGGGTAACAAAGTGAGACTCTGTCTCTTAAAACAAAACAAAACATCACTTTTCTTTTTCCTAACAGGTTCAGAATCAATTAGTTATAGTTTGTGAAAGGGCAATGAATATATATGTGTGTGTGTATCTATCTATCTATCTATCTATCTCACAATTCTTTGTTCTGGCAAAATATGCAGAATAATTGAAACATTGAATTTTTAAACATATATTTAATTATTTCAGGATTTTCTTTTTCTTTTGAGATAGGATCTTGCTCTGTTACCTGGGAGAGAGTACTGTGGTGTCATCATAGCTCAAGGCAACATCAAACTCCTGGGCTCAAGCCATCCTCCAGCCTCAGCCTTTCAAGTAGCCAAGTGGCTTATTTTTCTATTTTTAGTAGAGACTGGGTCTTAACTCTTGCTCAGGCTGGTCTCTAACTCCTGGCCTCAAGGAATCCTTCCACAGGATAAGATAATAGTGGATTATCCAGATTATAATCCTGTTTGGCCTCCCCAAAGTGCTAGGATGATAGGCATGAACCACTTCTTCCAGTCTATTTCAACTTTGAAAATATTTGCTTCTATCATTTTTAAAAATTAGAATTAATGTTCTTTATTGCGTATATAAAGGCTTTATCTTAATTATATTACCATGTCAGTAATTTGGCATGTTATGTGTATTAGAAATTAAAGTACATATTTTAAAATGTATCTTTTAGAAATATTAAAATTTCAATGAAAATTAAAAATATTCTTAGTTTAAGGCGTAATACCATTTAGATAGTACACTTTAATCAGAAGTGTTACATCTGTGTTGTCAGATTTTCATGAATACCTCAAAGTAGCACAATTGTCATTGGAAAAATCTTAGACTGAGTTTTCAATTGTATCACTTGGCATTCCTACCATTTATCCAGTAAATGTTGTCACTTTTTTTTGTTTGTTTTTGGTTGGCTTGATTGTGGTGCATATGTGTGTGTGTGTGTGTGTGTGCCTACAAAAATGTGTGTGTATATGTGTGTGCCTACAAAAATTTATACATTGTTTTCATTGTGACATAGTTACACATGTAGTATAGTTCACATAGTACTAGAAACTTTTGTTCTTCTGTGATGTTGCTTTAGCTCATACTTTCCCAAAGCCTTCTTTGATGGTTCTCTGTTGTATCCTTTTTTTCTTTCCCCTTAGTTATCATTACTTGTCTTTTTCTTCACCAGTCTTTTGACAGTTGCTGTAGTTGTATTTGTTGCAAACTGCAGGATTAAATAATCTACTTGTATCCATTTGATCTAATCTATTAGGAACATTTCAGAATTAGGAGTAATTTTACTGGTATGAAAGCACTGCATCCCTTGGTACTCTTAAGAATACTATGGCTTGGCTGAGTCCCAGTGGCTCATGTGTGTAATGCTAGCACCCTGGGAGGCCGAGGTGGGTGGATTGCCTGAGCTAAGGAGGTGGATACCAGCCTGAGCAAGAGTGTGACCCCCATCTCTAAAAATAGCTGGGCGTTGTGTCTGCTGTGTGTAGTCCCGGCTACTCTGGAGGCTGAGGCAAGAGGATTGTTGTAGCCCAAGAATTTGAGGTTGCTATGAACAATGATGTCACTGCACTCTACCCAGGGCAATGGAATAAGATTATCTAAAAAAAAAAAAAAAAAAAAGAGAATTGAATTAAATAAAAAAAAATAGCATGCAGAACAGGTTTATCTCTGTTGGAAATCTCATGGCACAAAAACGACTCAGAAGTGCAGTTGGAAAAGTGGATTTAAGAGTTAGCCTAATTTGATATAAAAGGGTAACATGGTAATTCTTTAATTTGCTGAAGGCTTGCTTTGTGGAGGAATACATGCTAATGTTTTTAGATTAATTTAGAATTTTCTTTTGAGTCCACCGGGCAAACATCTTGGATATTGGCCTAATCATTGATAATGTGGTAGGAACACATTATCATCATTTCACAATGATGGCTTGGAGGTCTGTGTATGGTATAAAGTACAAACCGGTTATGTTAATGTTAAAAACTAATATGGTTAGGAAGCCAATTTTGACATTTACTAGAATTTGGACCCTACCTTGTTAGGATCTACCTATGAGAGTACATATGAATAAATCAGGTTTCATCAACTAAACAGTTATAAAGCATGTGCAGAATACCACGTACTGAGAATGGGAGGGAATACAAAAAAACAGATATGTCTGC